GAGAGAGAGAGAGATGGGGGTTCTGTGGAGGTTAAGGGGGAGTGGGAAGAAGGGGTCCACGGGAGAAGGAGAGGAGGGGCTGGGGATAGGGGTGAATTCTAGAATTTGGATGATGGGGTCGTTAAAAAAAAAGAAATAGGGTAAGTATTATAATTTCAACAATAAAAATATTGAGGAGGGGATTAAACATCTTTTTCTTTCAACTTGAAGGGGGTCCACCTGAGGGTTAATTGGGATAATAACTATAGGAAGGGGGGTATATGTTTCTTTCCCTATAAAATAACATAGAACCGCAGGAATTGTGAGACTTAGCTGGTTCCTAAGGTTTCTTTACTGGACTGGGAACCCTGCAAGGTCCAAGTAACTTGGGTGAGTCAGAGTTGGACTTACCGAGTTTCAAAACATTAAAACATTACATATACTTGTGCATGTGTAAAATTTATTTATTGTTTCTTGTTTCTATATGTTAATTTATGATGATGCAATCACTTACAATAAAATAAGTTCTTTACTTTACCATTACAAATGCTTATGTATGTATACTTGATTTTATTAGGTACACTTCACAAGTTAATTGCACATGCATTGTCATGCTAAAATATACAAGAAGCTATTGACGTGGTAAAACATATGGCAATATGATAAGCCCCAAAGAACTGGAAAATTTGCATCAGGTAAAATAGCATAAGAAAAAGGTACTTTGATAACCATGAAATGCAAATGCCTTTTAATGGGTAACTAAAATCTGCAGTCATCCAAAGGGAGTTCTACATGGGTTATGAGGACCTACATGGGTAACCGTCTAATACAGGTTTGGCCAATTGTCCCTGGCCCCTAATCCACATTTTTGATGAAATTTCTTATGTGAGTAGGGGGCTCACGGTCACTTGGAGACACATATATCGCGAGAGTAACTCCGAAGCTGACTCTCTTGGCAAGGTGGGGGCTTCAAATGCGAACAACTGAGCATTTTTTGCAGTCTCAGTCTAATCTCTTTCCTGGGGTTCCCGTCCCCCGTCCTCATCTCTTTCTAGTTCCATTGCCCTCCTCCACGGTATATTTTTGTATAGAGCTCCCGGTTGTGGGTTGTTGTACATAACCCCTGGTTTTTCCCGGGTGGTCCAATTTTCTTCTTTTACTTCCTCCAATCAATACAAAAGTTAACCTTTTCAAAAAAAAAGAAAAACATTTGCTTACATAAAAAATAAAGAAAGAACTAAGTTTAAACTTGTGTCTTAGGAAAGATTTTGAAGAGTATGAGCCATTCTAATTTTGTCTTTTGTATCATGTGCCAGATAATAATTGGATCAAGATATAGAAGATGTCATATGCATACATGTATATCCATGTGCACACATATATGCGCAGGCTTAGTAACTCTTATGTTTCTTTGTAAATATTTAATTGGCAATGCATTCGTTGTTTCTGAATTTTCTTGTACTTGATTTTGTGCAGAACTTTTTGGCACTGTGTGCCAGTGGTTATTATGATGGAACCATATTTCATCGAAATATCAAAGGTTTTATGATCCAAGGGGGGGATCCCACAGGAACAGGGAAGGGAGGGACTAGCATATGGGGGGGGAAGTTCAACGATGAAATAAGAGATCCACTCAAGGTAGCACTCCCTACTAATTTCTCAAATTCGTATCGTCTAAGGTTGTTTTGATGTCTAAAGTTCTGGCTGTCGAAGACAAGAACTATTCCGCCTTGTCTCTTGATGTTCTTATGATAAGTTAATTTTCATGTATATCTGGAAAAAGAAAATGTTTTTTTTCTTACTCCATTTTCTTTTTGGTTGGTTCTTCACTTTCCAAATTCCCCGTCACAACTTCCACTTAAACTAGTTGTACTCAGGGTAAACTTTATTACTCTTTTAATTCACCCTTCACTGGCTAGTACTGGTATTGTTATCGAAATTATGCCAGACGGCACTCATTGATTTGCTTTTCTGTCTTGATACTCTCTCTTTTATATCTCTTTTCTAAAGAAACAGTAGCTTGTAATAAAAATGCTTTGATTTGCTATTAATTTAAGGCATTTGCAGCACAATGCAAGAGGCGTACTTTCTATGGCCAATAGTGGACCCAATACAAATGGAAGCCAGTTCTTTATCGCTTATGCAAAACAGCCTCATCTAAATGGCTTATACACTGTGTTTGGACGAGTAATTCATGGTTTTGAAGTACTTGATCTCATGGAAAAGGTATTTAATTTATATTGCATTATAGCTTCTGTCTTGTACTTGGTGAACCGGAGTTAGGATTGGAACTGTTATTGCAATGTTGGAGATGAGGAGAAGAAGCACCACACACACACAATACATGCCAAACAATAAAAAGAAGAAAAAAAGGGGGAACAGTAGATCGTACTGTATGATCAAAGAAAAAAAAAAAGAAGAAACTCAGCCACCTTTTGCTGCATATTTTGTTAGGGGGATGTGGAAGTTCTATGGATTTTTATCCCATATTTGTCAAAAGCTTTTGGTTCTAGGTGATTTGCAAGGAGCTCATCTATGTTTTGCCGTTTGTTTTTGGCATCTGTTTCTACTTTTGTTGTGTCTGCTTAGACTCCGACAGGACATGGGGATCGTCCACTTGCAGAGATCAGGATAAATCGAGTGACCATCCATGCAAATCCTCTTGCTGGATAACTTACTTGGTAAATGAACTTTTTATCCCTTGTATTTCTCAGTTTTCACGTGCTGTTTTCAATCTATCCCTTATATTTCTCAGTTTCCACATGCTATTATCAAGGAGGACTAAAGTATTAGAACACTTTTAGCAGCTACTTAATTGTACAGTTGTGGGGCATGATGTGAAATAGCTGGCAGATTTGGGCACGATTGAATTTCTTGATTACCATTGGTTCTTCCAAACAGTGTTGAAAAACTTGGCAAGTCTGACTAGGAGTCGCTTGTGTTATTCCGACACAGCAGGCTGCCAAATCTAGAATGAAACACATGGGAACTGGCCAAGTTCCCAATGTTTTGTTTTATTTTATACTTTTTTTTAGACTTAGCTGAGTCCTTGGCAGACTCACCCAAGTCTGTCATACCTGACTCAGGCTCGGGTCCCTAGTGAGTACTGACCCTGGTTATTTTTTTCTTAACATTGATACTGAAGCATAAGAGGATTTTAGTTTTGGATAATAAAGTGCCTAGCCCTTCAATAAGCAAATCTCGGTGATAGGTTTTGGAGCCTCATATATTTTTCCTTTCGTGGATTTTACAAAGTTAACTTTTCCTCATGTATGTTTGGGGTATTTCTTCTCTAAAAGCCTATCGTTGTTTATGTTGTTGGTAGGTGAACTCATGTGTTCAATTGCATTATCGTCCTTTAGAGCTGTCTTCCATGAAAACCAAAGGTCTTATACACTTTGTAAAACAAGCTTGGGAGCATATTGAAGCTTGTCTAAAGGGGCATCTCATCATTCCCGGTGAATTTGTACTTATAGACTTTTTTCTTTTTGTAGTTTTCAATGACATTTGACTTGCCTTTTGCTTCTTGATAATTAGGTTATGACTGATGAAAGATGAAATTGTTCATGTACATAGTGCATTAGAAATGAAAAAGAAAGGAAATATTGAGAGCCTTCTGGTGATGAATTCTTTCCTTGCAGTTGATTGATTTAAATGGTAATTGAGTGAAGTTTTTATATTCATTATTTGTGCCCAATTGTGAATACGTTAGGAAGTGCCAAAGTCTTTGCACCAATCGATGGCTGCGGTGCTGTTTGAATACATATTGTAAGGTTATGATTTGAATGTCTTAATTAACTCATGCACAAAACTCTTTTGAGTGTGTGCTCTACACTACATAATTATCTTTAATTTGAAACTGAAACTCGGTTTTTGTTCCCATATCAATGATGGAACGGAGCACATATACTATGCACCCTCGGGAGCATGGTTTACTTCTACTTCCTGGGTTAGAAGACTTACTTGGGAGGATTTTTTTAATCTGAAATTTTTGAAACCACCTAAGAATCATTAGACGATTATTTACAAAAAAGAGAATTTGAAATTTGAGTTTTTTTGACACTTAGATTTAACCATCTAAAAAATGGATAGCGATTCAAGTGATAGAGGGTGTCTAAAAAATTTGGGGTTCTAAAATTAATTCCAAAGTGGGTTTGACTTGAGGGAGTGAATGGACAATGTATTCCCACGAGACTATAATATCTTTTGGTAGTAGAAGTTATCTTCCTATCTCACCCCCACCTTATGTTTTGCAAGGTCCACCTTATGTTTTGCAAGGTCAGCATCTTATATTTTTGTTGTTGTATATTTACTTGTAAATATGGTCTAAGAAGGGTAAGGACTTTAAACTTTTCTTTAACCCATCCTATACCCAGGTAAAGGAGTTGGGTTGTGTTAGGTAGGAAGCCAACGTAAAATTTTGCCAAAATTTATCATGAATCCCCTCTCCATTTCATGTGCAAACTAAAGAAAACCTTAATATTAAAAATAATAAGTTTTTTGGTGATACCAGTCTAGTCAAATTGCTTGCGATGCATGGGGGTTCAATTCCACAATCACTCCTTTTGGGTTATTAGCTACATTATCTAGACTTGAGTTATTCATCAACACGAAATCCAGTCCTCTTCTAAGAACATTAAAAACATAATATAGGAAATAGGGATTGAATAAGACTATTTACTTTGAGTATAAGGATCTCACAATTGATCTTAGCCATTAGATGTGAAATCCTACATACTAAAGTGTGTCACAACATTTAAGAAATTTTATTTGAGATTTTGTGCCCAATCAATGATATATCCATTTGATTTCTCATCTAATGGAGAATGGCCTAGGGCCTTGGCGGCAGTATTGTCGAGCTGTATGGTGAGGTCTTTGACTCCATTATCACCAAAGGGTAGGGGTTCAAATCCCCATTGACATACCACTTTTTTTAGAATGGTCTGGGGCTTTGGTGGTAGTATTGCTAAGCCCCATGGTGAGATCTCTGATTCCATTCTCACTAAAAAGTAGGGGCCAAGATCCCCGTTGACTTACCTTTTGAGACCTGTATAGGCCACTAACTGTAATATTTTGAGAGTGATATGGGGCCTTGGCGGTAGTATTGCCATGCCTTATGGTGAGATCTTTGACTCCATTCTCACCAGAGTGTAGGGGCCCAAATGCCTATTAATCTCACCAAAGGATAGGGGCCCAAATGCCCACTAATCTCACCAAAGGATAGGGGCCTAAATCCCCATTGATATACCACTTCTTTTTCTTTTTTTTGGGAAAGAGGCTGGGGATGTGGTGGTAGTATCCTACACCCTAATCAACATGTTGTGGTTTCCATTTCCACCATTAACACTACCCCATTAATACTTTCAAAAAGCTAACTCCTAATCGTGTCTTTCCCATTGAATTACCAAAAAAAAAAACCACAAAAAATAGAAGGTGCTCAAATGAATCAACTCAACACAGTGGTTACTTATAAATACGCCGTCTAAAATTCCTATGTTATGGATTTAGAAGTTTTAACAAAATGGGGTGTTTTGAAGATGTAGCTCACTTAATACATAAGTGAAATAATGTAAATATGCTTACGTGCTTCATATTTTAAACTCAAAACAAGTTTTCAGTTTAATATCTTATACTTACTTTAGAACTTAGAACAAGCATGTGTATTTTTGTTATTTGGCTCAACTTAAGTAACTTAAGCTAGATGATGAAACTGCCATTCCAAACCAAAAATATATACTCTTTCATTAAAGTCTCTTCTCATGAGTTTGAAATCGTGAATAAGCAGGGTCATATTGATAATTTGATCTCATGAGTTTGAAATCGTGAATAAGCACAGTGTTATTGATTATTTAATCCCCTTGTGTGAGAGGCCAATAATTTCATTAATGGAACTTTAGCTATTTCGTATATTTTTTTTGAGGTTCGAACTTTAGCTATTTTGCAGGGGTAGGGATTGTGCTGAAGTCGTATTCTTTTATAAATTTATATGAAAAAGGAAAAATATTTCTTTGTCTTTCATTTTTAAGTTTCATTTTTTGATAAACCCAAGATTTCAAAAGATATCTAACCCCTGACAACTTTAAACCTAAACAAAAGTGAGAAAGACATGCCCTTTTTAAACCCCATAATTTCTCTCTCTTCACTTATATACCCCAAATTTATCGTTTTCTTTCTCTTCCTGCATCTCTCACTCTCTCTCTCCTCCTGTATTTTTCCAAATACGTCTCTCTCCTCCTATATTTTTCCAAACATATCTCTCTCTCCTCTCGGTATCCTCTCACCTCCATGAAGCTTTTATCTCTCTCTAGAAGTTCGGGGGATGACTTTTAGAAAAAACATGTCTTTTAATATTTGTTTGGCCTAAAAAAAACAATTTTAAATTAGCTCAGGGGATTAGAAGAAATAAAATCTACAAATTTTATGCCCCAAGATATCTTTTAAAACATTGGGTCTATTGTAAAATGAAACTTAAAAATAGACGGTATGGAGATATTTTCCCAAAAAAAAAATATTCTAGATTGAGCAGAGGCTGATCGATTCTTGGTGGTAGATTAAAATGTAGAAAACTCAAAAATTCAAACAAGGGTATTTAACATATATATCACTTATATTTATTGAAATCAAAGAAAGGTCTCAGAATTTTCCAATTTTACACCGAGGTCTCTATTTTGTGTTTTTTTATTTTTATTTTTTAAATTATCCCCAATTCTACTCTTAACTCACTACTGTTTTTTTTGTTAAGATGTTATTCAATAAGGAAATATTGTCTCGTGTGAAAAAATTCTTTCATGTGGTTAGATATGTGATTAGGTATGATAACATTTTCTGCTAATTGGTGTTTAATCTTTCACGTGAGCATAGAAGTTCTATCCTCCCCCTACCATCCAGCCGTCTAATTTTGATCAAGTAAGTCACTCACCATTTGATCTTAGATCCAACGTCTCAAAGTATTTTATTTTTAGTTTTTTTTTATACAAATTGTATGAATATGAAATTTGGTAAGTGTCATCTTCTCATTGAGGCGTACCTATAAAAATATTAAAAATAAATTATAATGATCAAAATACCCCTTGAAGCTTTTAGGGTATTTTGGTTATTTTATTTTATTGAAAATATTTTTTTATATTTTTGCTAGTGCAAGTTTAATAGAGGAATGAATATCCAAAATTTAGTGTCAAAATAGTTTATAAAAAAATATTAAAAATAAAATAGTGTAAAGACATGATATTATGATTGGGGCAATCTTAACCCTCCATTCAGAATGGACGGTTGGATAAAGGGGAGGATAGAACTTCTATGCTATAAGGAAAGCATAGAAAGCTTGCCCAAAACAAAATGGCCGAAGGTTTTTTATTTGAAACATCTTGAAGGTCAAATCTTTTATTTTTTCAACACAGTTCGACTCTTTTAGCCTAAAACCATGTTTCTGATGAATGATTAAAACCCAGAGGTCCTGTGTTGTGCACTTTTCCAAAGGCAAAATAAAGGCTTCCTTCTACGTGAGATATTGGACTTTATAATTCTCATCTCATATCCATTGAGAGTTTAAAAAGGAGAACCATTTTTTTTTAGCTTTGACCACGAAAATTTAAAAAGTTAAAACTTTGTTGCTTTTATCTCCTATTTCTTAAATTAAAAAGTTAAAGAAAACATGAGCACTTGTTCAGACAAAAAGAAAGCGGAGCTTCAAATATAGAAAATCAATTTGACCCTTATTAAAAAAATAAAAAAATAAAAAACCGATCGCTTTAGGATGGAGTCAAACTACAGGTAATTTTAGAAATAAACAATTGATGGAATTTCGGACCTCAATGAAAAAATTAGAAAATTTTATGGTTTTTGTAATATTCAATACCATTAATTTTATTTAGATAATATAGATTTAACATTTCTTTTAAGACAGTATCATGTCTAATTTGCAGTTTCTAAATAAAATAAATAGGGTAAATTATTTGCAACATTATTTTTTTATCACCCTCATAAATTTTTTTCTCAAAAAAATTGCTTTTCCCTATTATTTTTAAAAATATTGATTCATATAGGCTGATAACTTTTTTTTTTTTTTTTTTTGCGTGATAGCCATCGCATATAGCATGCTTCTATGACCCAAAAAGATACAATGGTACAGGAATTGAGCTTGGGCTTAAGTGATTAGTAGTTCATGTTGTGACCAAAAAAGATACAATGGTACAGGAATTGAGCTTGGGCTTAAGTGATCAGTAGTTCATGTTGTGAATGCTACATCTCAAATCTGATTGCTACCATTGAATCATCTGAGAGAAAATATAAAGCCATTTTCTCCAAAGTAATCTTATTTATAAATTAATTGATTTAATCACATTGGCTACCCTATTTGATCACTGCATACTAATGCGTGTAACGTAGATGAGGATGTTGAGATATATGAGTGGTAAGACAATAAGAGATAGAATTCAAAATGAATATATTTGGAAAAATTAGGTGCGGCATCGATAGGCGATAAGATGACAGAAAATAAATATAGGTGGGCTGGGAATGTGTAGTGTAATCCCAGTGCAATACCTATTATGAGGTGCGAGTTAATTCAAGTGGAAATATCAAAACAGACAAGGGGTAGACCCAAAAAGACATGGTTGAAACAGTACAACCAATGTTATCAAATTCGCTTCGCTTCGGCTGAAGAGGGCAAAGCCTTTTGATTTTGGGCATAAACTAAAGAGAAGCAAAGCTTGATGTTGGCGCTTCAGTCACATTCAGACCGCTTAGGGCTGCTTTGGCCAAATTCAGACCGCTTCGGGTTTCTTCGGGTCAACTTCGGCCAGCAAAGAAATAACTATATAAATGTATTTTTTTAAAAAAAAAATTTCCATTATATGTATATATTTTATATATAATTATCTAATTTATTTATACTAAATTAATTTTTTTTGAAGTATTCCCCAAAATCAACTGAAACACTGAATTGCTTCATTTTTCTCACCAAACCGAAGAAGATTCAGAAGCAAATCTGGCAACATTGAGTATAGCATGAAAAAAGCTATTGAATTAGCTGAACAAGCAAATACAAAGGGGATTAGAATACAAATTGTGGGGCGTCTGAGCGGAAAAGAGTGTTTGGAGGTGCAAGTTAGTTCAAGTGGAAAACTCAAAACATGCAAAGAGTAAACCCAAAATGACATGGTTGAAAATAACAAGAAAAAACATAAAAACTTATCGCCTCACTAAGAGTATGACTCTTCATATAGTAAAATAGTGGTCGAGATTCATATAGCCAACCCCAATTATTCGTATAGCCAACCCTAATTAATTAAGAAAATGTTTTAACGATGCTAATGACATTAGCTGCCCTGCCCTTATTATCTTACTTATATGTTTCAATAAAAAAAAAAAAGAAGAAAAAATTTATATAAGGTTGCAATCTTAAAATGTAGAATTAAAGATGCACTTAAAAAATCCATCAAAAAATATTGTTTTCATGTTGAGAAACCTTCTAATTGATCATATTGACATGAAGATGAATGAATATAGAAAAAAAGATTCTAAGTCTTAAAAATAATAAATCTTGTGCAATACATTATCTAAATCGTCAATTTTCAAGATTTTCGTGTGCTTCTAGATCTACTTGATTTTAATTATTTTTAAAATTTAAAATTTTATAATTAGATATGAAAATAGATTTTCAGATAATCTTAAAAAAACTTTACACTACAATTACGATAAAAATTGGAGGCGCGCTTAATCGGAGTGTTTGTTTGAACCTTACATAAACCACACCTTTAAATATTTTTTTTTTTTTGTTCCCATTCATCGCGGGTCATTTTCCGCAAAGGTGAAGGGTTATGTATGTCTTTTACGGCTACAGTCACAAATAACCCGGGAATTTTTCGATGATCACAGTCCACTCCTCTCTCTCTCTCTCTGATGCGCTAATTCGTCTAATCTCTGAAGATGAGTAGCTTGTACAGGCTTGGAACCCTAAATTTCTCCCCTCCTCCGCAACTATACTTCATGGTGTTTGGTATAATGAGAGAACAATGGCGCCTGTCGCTGGAGTTGTTAGAATCTAGTGTCTTGAATTAGGGTTTTCAGAGGGTTTTAGTGATGGAGGCCATTGTTCAGCAAAAAAAGGAGAATGAAGATTGCAAGCCTTATTTGAACCCTGGGAAGCCTCTCCCAGGAGAGAAGTCAATGGATGATATATGCGATGTTGCTCAAAAGATGGCTTCTCAACCGGTCCAGGTCTCCGATCCTCGTGTTTGGGGAGTTTTAACTGCGATCTCAGACAAAGCGAGGAAGAGATCACAGGTAAATGTGTATTGCTTTCTCTCTTTTGGTAAACATGAGTCGCTCGACATTATGTGCATTTGCTGGATTACAAAGTTTCTAACATTGAAGTTTTGTTTTGCAAGTTTTTCTTTTTGACTTCGTTTTCTAGTTCTTCTGTTTCTATTGACTATAGGTGCACATTATTTATACAGACTTTGTGTGGTTTTAGAGGCGGAGAGAGTCTGAAATTTTCTCTGTTGTTTGTCTTTTAATACTGTAAAGTTTCATTATTAATTTACCATATCTTCCCTTTTGGTTTGTTTCATTGTATACTTTCTATTACTTGGTCTATATCAAAGGTTTAATCGCTTTCAGCAGCTTCTGGAGTCTGATATATTGAATTTTCAGTTTTGTGTGTTTCTTTGGTATATATTGGTTTCAATGTGCGATTTGTGACTTCAAGTTTTCCATGAATTCCTTGCCATTTCTTTCTAAATATTGATTTCAGTGTTTGATTTTTACTTTAAATTTCCCTTGAATTTCCTTTCCCATTTCTTTGTATTGTTTCTGTTTCTACTTCTTTGTTATTGCAGGAGTTGGTTACTTTAAGGGCTCTTTCTACTGCCATAATTCTTATTGTAAAATTTCCTATACCTTTTTCACTAGACTTCTCTGTTCCCTTTCTATTCTGTTACATCCAATCAATTTTTGAAACCCTAGTAGCCCATTTGAACTCTTGTAGTTAATATGGCCGGGAGCTTTATTTGCTCCCACACTTTATGCTATGCAATTTTTTGCGCAAGATTTCACAATGTTATCCTTCTCCATGTATTAGTTATCTGAACCCTAGGTGCTGTTGCATTTCAAAAACTATGTACTTTCGATGGATGTGACAGGTTGTTACCCTAAAGACTCAGTTTTTTGGCAGGGGTTATTTCTGTTCACAAAAGAATGAGACATTATCTTTTTATATGCAAAAAATTATACTGATAAATGTCTTCCCAAGCAGGGAATAAACATTCTTTTAGATGGCGATGAACATATTTTTGGTCGTTCGGTGAAGGGGCCGAAGAGTGCTGTGATTAGTTTTCCTGCAGTTAGTGGGTTCCACTGCAAAATTAGCAGGAAGAAATTGTCGGTCGAAAATGGGGAGGAACCTAGTTACTATTATCTTGCTTATTTAAAGGATACCAGGTTTGTGAATAAATTGGATATTGAAAACTTTGTATGGTGGAAGTTTTTCTTTGGAATTTTTTTTGTTTAATTTACTGATTGTCAGAGTTGCTGCAGTACCAATGGCACATTTCTTAATTGGACAAGGTTGACAAAAGATGCCCCAGCAGCGGAACTTCAGCACGGGGATATTGTATCCCTAGTTCATCCTCCTGAGAATGGTATATTACACTCTTTGTTCCTTACAGTTGTTTGGACTCCTAGAATTTAAAGGAGACTCATTTGTCTTGATTCTTTGGTCTAAGTGTTAGGTCCCCTCTTCATTGAGGCTTTTGGATGTATTTGAAAAATTTTTAGAGCCTAAGAGGCTGTTGGCTCTATTAAGATCTTCTAATAACATGCTCATGTGGAGATTTATGAAGTGGCTGATATACTTGACTGTGATATTGTAATTGGGTTTTAATTTCATTTTCCTTAAGTTCTTAGGTTTCAAGGTTCTTATTGTAGTTTTATTAGAAACCTTTGATTTAAATAATTTCCTAGAGTCTCTAGGAGTTTATTTTCTATGTTTTCAAGAGTCCAAGAACAACACAAATAGAACTTGGACCTCTCTGGAAATTCCTATATCGCCATATGGCCAATTCATTTTCAAGTTTGAGTGATAAAATGTGGGCTACAATTTTGGTGAATGCCACATTTAGAGCTGTTCTCAGGTCGTTTTGTAGCAATACTAATTCTCGAACTCTAGCCTGGGTCTGGGAGAGTCCTGCCAAATGTTAGAGCCACCGTTCTTCATGTGATGACTGTATTCTCTGAGGGCCTGGCTGTAGAGTGGTGGTTCTCCCCATGTAAGCTAAAACACCTTTTTCTTTCCTCTCTTGTGCGACACATCCCATCTGTGATTCACTGCGACCAACTTCGTCACCTATCAAGCCTTTCGATAAACCCTAGTCTAACCTCTCAAAACCCGTAAGCTAGCTCAAAAGCTACCTTAGCCCTATGCCTACTCTCTGTAGACTTCAAACTTTAGTTCAAATCCTATATTTCTGTAGTTCAACCGTAGGATCCATTTTATGGTCCTACTATCTTGCTGGGACTTGCTAAGTTCCAAAAGCTTTAACCCCTTTATAAACCCTAAAACTTATCCTAAACCTTGCCCTGACCTAATCAACCCTTTTCGCATAATTTGAACCGTACTTGTACTTCAACTAGACCTTGTACTTTCCAATTCTACCGCAGTTAGGAAACCTTCATAAGTTACAAAACTCTGCAGTCATAATCTTTGTAGGAAACTAAAAACCTAATTAGCACTCCCATCTGTACCTAACCCCTTTCCATACTCTCCTTTCGTGTTACACTCATGTAGGATCTAGGTCCCTTAGTCCATACCAGCATTGATATCAGAGCAAGTTATTCCTTGGAAGCTTGCTTTGAGTCAACAATATCTTGAACTTATGGCTGCCATATCTTGAACTTATGTCTCTCTTTCCCAAGCCCATAGAGATAGGGGTAGTAGATCTTGAAGAGATTTTTGGTTTAAGCTCTTGATGACCCTGAATGGATATCTAGTGGAAAGCTATGCCTTCGGAAAGTGGTCTGCACAATAGTGATCTTAAAAAGTCATTCAAAAGAAACTTGATTGGAAATTTCTCTTTCACATGATCACACCTATGATTTGGTGTAATTTATTAATGGTGGACAGTGGGACCCCAAGGTAATCAAAGGAACCATTATAGATGGATCTTGAAGGGCTTAGCTCTTATTTCAAGCAGCGAGAATGAGGGACAATCAAAGAAACTCGGCTTAGGGAGTGTGTATGAGATCAATGCTTGAGGGTTTGACATGTTTGGGCAGGGGGCCTAGTGGCCTACATCTTGAACAATTTTATTTTAGTTTTATTTTTTTGTGGGCCATTTGCTATTGAGCTATTTTTCATTGATAGCAGTTACTGGATTTTCTGATTTATTAGAGAAATGAAGGATACTTTACGTTTGATTAGTTTTCATCTGTAAGATGTCGATTCTTGTATTGGATCGGATTTTCTCTGCATCGGATTTGTCACTGTAGTGCAGGAGAGATTCACTAATGCGTGCAAGTATGGCTAAGTCAATTATTTTCATTTTTCATGATTACTATTATTACTGTTTTGTTCATATTCATGTGAACTGCAGGCTTGCTAATTGGATGACTACTTACAGGTCTAAATTAATTCCCTATCTAAATAAGTTCTATTGCTTGGTTTGTTGTACTTGTGAATGTCTTATTCCATCTATCTGTTATGATGTATTTTGATAATTTAAGTCCTGCTATTACTGATTGAGAAAAAAAGGCTTAGTTTTTGCTTTATCCAATGGGTGTAATTTTGAGACTTCCTTTTCTTCTTTTTTATTCTATGCAGAAAATGCATATGTATTTGTATATAGGGAAGTGAAGAAAGATGTCTGTTCCCCCACTATGATTCCGGTTTTAAAGAGGAAACAAGGTACAACTGCTGCCTGCTTTCTTTTTGGGTTATGCCAGAATTGCTTTGCTATTTTGATTTGTTTGTAGTTCTTTTTTAGTTTGACTTTTCTTGTCCAAATGAAAAAGAAAATGTTAATTTGGCCTTGCTATATGTAGTTGACAGTGGGATATCTCTATATAATTGACAGTGGATCTATTTTATTTTGACTTTTCTTATCCAATGAAAATAAAATTTTAATTTGGCTTTGCTATATATAGTTGACTGTGGGATATCGCTATATAGTTGACAGTGGGATATCTCTCAATTCCCTTTGGAAGTTAATTGCGTAGAATATGTTGTTACTCTTTTGGCTTGTGAAGGAACCTTTTGATTTTTTTTTTCAGCTTCCTTTGCTTTTGGAAACACCTAACTACTATGCTTGGTTGCTTTAATGTGGTTTTCCTTCTATTAGGAATTTGTTGTTGTTAGTTGAGAGGGAGGGTGGAGAGAGCTGGTGTTTAGTTCAGTTGTGTTTACTGTTTAGGAGCATTCCTGTTAGCTGTGAATGTGAAATCATGCGGCATTCATAGTGCTTTCATGTTTGTGGGTCATGAAACGTGGACTTCTTTGTTTTCAATGGGCAGAGCAGAACACTTGAAGTTGATCAATTCAGATTTCCAAAATGGTTTTGGTCTTTTTTCGGATGTCATCATGTGGGTACCTCTGTATCTGAGATCCGAATGGGCTGACAATAATACCTGAGTTGTCCGTTGTCCCTTATGTGGTCCTCGCAATTGTGGCTATTTTGTTGAACACTTTCTTCTTTCTAGTTTCCATTTGAAGGCATATGAGGTATCATGCATGTTATTTTAGTTCACTTATTTTTGTTTTTCTTCTTTTATGCTATGAGCAGTAAGCTTTTTGTGTGAAAATAACTTACAACATTTAGTCCAAATAATAGATATAGATATCAAGTAAATTTGGAAAACATAGGTATGGATTGGAATCTCCTATAGAATATTTACATTTATTTCCCCGATTTTTGAAAAATGCGATAGTAATCGGGCTGGTAGGAGTGCACACTGTCAAAATTTAAGCCATGTTTTTCTGGTATTTTTCCACTTGTTCCTCTTATGGAAAATGAAGTGCTTTCATACATTCCTTTTCAAATCGTTGAGTTGCGAACTCCTAAATACTGAGGCTCTACTCAAAAAAAAAAAACTCCTACATTCCGAGGCAGTTTTAATTGAGCTTCAATTGAAGATAAGTTTGCACTTCTTTTTGTAATGGGTTAGTGTATGAAGAATTTCAGGAGTTTCCTATGTATCCATTACTTTCTCAGCTAAATCTCCATTTCCTAAACTGTGGTTTCACTGTGAAGGTGATGTGGAGGAGTTTGTTGCAGAAAGCAAGAGGCTAAAAGGTTTAGGAATTGGTGCTCCTGATGGTCCTGTATCTCTTGATGACGTCAGAAGGTTGCAGAGATCAAATGAGGTGTCTTTTATCTGGATCTCTATAATCATTCTGAGCTGTAATTATGGATTTTGTCTCTTATAACTAGTAACTTGACAATATCATTTGATAGGTGTAGAGCCCAACAATTCATTCTTGGATTTCTTCAATTCCAACCTTGTTCCACTGTGTGCAGGATCTGAGAAAGCAACTGGAGTCTCATGTTCTTACCATTGAGACTTTGAATAGTGAGAACCGGGCTTGTGCTGTTCGCCATGAAAATGTATGCTCTATGGGAACCTCATGACTTTTCTGGAAAAGTACTAAGTACTGTTGGATATTCTTACAGTGTAGGAATCGTGTCAAAACCGTCTTGGGTTCTTGAAATTTCTTATTATGCCCTAATCAAATCACTTGTCAGAGAATTACTAAGTTGTGCCTTTTTTTTTTCTTCTAAACATTCATTCCTACACTGATTGACGTGATGGTTTAAAATCCTTAAATGTCTTCAAAACTCCATTTCCTGCAATGATATGGACTTGATATCTTGTATACAATAAGAGATGTTCCCTCTAATTCTTTGGGCGCCTTTTTGATGAGTTCCCAGTGGATTAAACTGATTTTAGTTACATGGACAAATTTTTCTATGATTTATCCTAAGACATATTATCTTGTAGGAGCTGAAAGAGCTAAGGGAATCAGTATCCCAATCTTATCTTGATGAAATTAAAGATCTTCGCCACACATTGAATGTTAGACAGAAGGAACTGGCGGAGCTCAGTGCTTTATCAGCTGATCGGCAAAACTCAATTGAGGACCTCAACCAACAGCTCGCAGCATCCACACAGTCGAGGACTGATGCAGAAGAAATACTTCAGAGGTGAGGAACTTGATTCATAAAACATTCTCTATAGATTTGCTTAGTGCTATGGGGTCTTAAGCTTGTATATTTGCAAATGAAATTGGTCAGCTTTATGCTCTTCTATCACATTAGCTTGTTCCTTATTTCGAAAATGGTCACATAAGTTTGTAATTTCCTTGCATTGGTGGGAGTTGAATCTACCAAGTCTATCCTACAATTAATTATTATCCAGAATTAATCTCGACTCTCTGTTTTTTTTTGGGTGAATTAATCTTGTACTCTGTTTGACTATGAAGCTTGAGCTTTCCCAATTCTGTCAAGAGACTGTTATTGCTCTCTCTCTACTTTTTTATTGAGATTTGTTACAAGAAGTAGCGAACTTGTCTTTTTGCGTTGCTTATTGAAATCATTTTTATGTTTAGTATCTATGGTGGCATAATAATTCTTCGTCACCTTTCTTGTAGTCAGACAGCAACAATATCTGAACTTGAAGCTCAGTTAGAAGAAGAGCGGAACCAACGAAGGAATGAAAGAGAAAAGTCGATGGCAGATTTGCAAGCTGCATTGCAGAGAGCACGTTCAGAAGCACAGGAGGAATTAAAAAGACAAGCTGGTGATGCCTTGAGACAACAGAGAGAGCAACAGGAGGTTATCAATAAGCTTCAGGTTTGGAGAAAATGATGTTTTCTTGATCCTTCATAGATGAAGTATTATGGTGGTTCTCACTAGTTGTGTTTTTCTATTAATTTTCTCAGGAAGCAGATAAAGAAAGTCGGCTACTTGTGGAAACATTGAGATCCAAACTGGTATATTAAGTCACAGTTGTATATCTCTCTCAGTGCACTACATTTTAGTTTTCTACTAAACTTCTTAGTGGGTTTTTGTTTTACTTGATTGTGTTTGCTGGGATAGGAAGATACAAGAGAAAGCTTTGTCAAATCAGAGAAAAAGGTCCGGCAACTAGAAGCACAGCTACATGAAGAACAATTAGCTTCTGCAGATGCCCAAAAGGTGATTCCTACACATTAAACAAAAATAATTTAACATTGTTATCTAACATTGTTCTTTCTTGTAGTGTTAAATGATATGCATATGATATGAATCACATATATTGTAGTTAATATATGTAATTCATATACTATACAAGAATGAAACTTCCCTAAATTGAACAGGGCGTCTTTCCTTTCAAATACAGCCTTTGTGATGCCTTTCCTGTTGTTTAAAACAGAAAGCAGCAACGGTGAAGGCTGAATTAAGAAGATTGGAAAAGGAACTCGAAAATGAAAAGGTAGACACAATGTTCTTTAGTGCTTGGATAGGAGCTTGTGATTTTTTAAGTCTAAATATTATTGATGCACTATTTGGTGTTCATATGAAGTTCAAGTTCTATTCATTCCAGCTGAGAGTGATTTGTGCTACCATTAGCAGGTAGCCAGAGAAGAGGCGTGGGCCAAGGTTTCTGCACTTGAGCTTGAAATGGCTGCTGCAATTCGCGATCTTTCAATTGAGAAACAAAGGTTTCAGGGTGCTAGAGAAAGAATTATACTCAGGTTAGTTACAAGTAATTGGCCAAATATCCATCTGTAAAAACCCGTGTTTGGATGCAACTTATGATTGTTCACTGTGTGGAGCACCTCAACAAAATGTGGCATTTCGTGGCCCTTGATAGAGCCGATTGGCAGAACTGGATTCGTGTAGCCGACTCCAAATACATGGGATAAGGCTTTGATGATGATGATGAAAAATTGGTATTTCTAAGTTTTTATCTCACTCACAAAACCATATTCCTTTTTGAGTGTGCCACCTTACTAGGGGTTCATAAGTGGCACCCAAATGGACCTCTCAACCACAAATGCCACCTTACTAGGGGTACCTTACCTAGTGCCACTCCTACAGCACCAACCATGGTTTGGGGTGGCATGCAAACTAGCTGTAATATAATCTTCCAATCTGATTTGAGACTGTTGATCTTTTGGTAGAATAATATTTTGAATGCTACCTGAAGCACCTGGCGATTTAGATATTTGTTTCAAAAAGTTCAAAACTTCAAATAGTAGAAAAGCACCTGTTGATACTTATTCCCTTGGCTGAAGTGCACATGGTAGAGGGTATCAAATGCTAGTTTATTCTTTAAAGCTGGACAAGCAAGGGTAGAAACATAAAATTTCTTGTAGTTAAAAGTTTTTAATTCATCATACGAGGCATTTTGTGATTCTACCTTTGCAAGTCCGGTGGTTCTTGACTAGCTTTGAAGGAAGTATTTAGTATTTACTAATCTGTTCTTTGAAAAATCAGACAAGGCAGGGGAGAGTAAAATCATAGTTAATTTTTTTCTGAATTGTTTTACATTTCTACCATTTCTGGCTTGTGTTGCAAATAATGGACAAGTATTTCAAAAAACTGTGAGGTTTCCAATCCTAGCCATTGGCAAAATAAACATTTCAGAAAACGAGACCCATTATCTGGCTTTTTGATAATGAAAACCTAAGTCAAATACTATTTTTACTATTTTGGAACAATGCTTTGAAGTACATATCCAAAGGAGACATGTACTAGGGCTATTTTTTAAATCAAAATTTTCTCGAAAAGTTATAGAAAACAAATCACCGAAGAGAACCAATTATGGACACTTCATACAGTTCCTCCTTTTTCTGTGCACGGTCAATTTGATGTTGGTTGTATAATTGGGCCTTTATTAATGGAAATCCATTTTCTCTAGTTGTTATGGATATCCTATATAATGTAGTTTGATGTACTGAACTGCAGGGGAGAGAAAAATATCTCTCTCGCTAAATGGAGATCCTATAGACTGAGATCAAATAACATATTTGATTCCACGTCAAGTATTGATTTATATTGACATTTCCTATATGCCAAGATGACTTCAAGCTCTCATTCTTTTCGCCGCTTAACTGTTTGTGCACAATGTCTTTCAGGGAAAGTCAGTTACGTGCATTCTATTCCACCACGGAAGAGATCTCTGCTCTCTTTGCAAAGCAACAGCAACAACTGAAGGCAATGCAAAGAGCTCTTGAAGATGAGGAGAATGGTGAGAACACAACAGCCAATGTCGAGATTGAACAAAATAGAGAAAACATTTCAAAGGCGCCAACTTCATCTAAAGGAGCTCAAAGGAGCAAATCAGCAGGAGAAACCTCCACTGCCTCGACCCGAAAGGGATGTGCAAATGAAAGCATGAGTGACACAAGCATCCACATATGTAAACAAGAGGCCCATTTGGGTGCCATTATTGGTGAAGAGAGAGAGAGCATTGAAAAGAGAATTGGTGAGGAGAGAGAAAGTGGGCATACCAATGATGAGGGGTGCACCAGTAATGCCCAAGAAATGAAGGGATTTGGGTCAGATATAGAAGCTATTGGCACTGAACTTGAGCATGGGCATGACCTCATGGGCACGGAACAAGTCCATGGTGTGGATCTTGATGGGACAGAGATGGTTGAGATTGGGTTAGGTGCTAGAAGGTCTGGTTATTCGAATAACGCCAATCTTGCTGGTGAGACAATGGAAATTGATGATGAGGCCCAGACAAATATGGAATTAGATATAGTAAGAGAAAGCAGCAACAAGCCAAAAAGAAGCTCTAGCTCACAAGCCAAGGAACCCGAAACCCTTGTGGAACTAGATGTAGAGAGAGAAAGAGATGATGACCCAAAAAGAAGCTATTTCCCTGGAGAAAATGACCAGCATAAGAGCTTGAAGAGAGTGGAAGATACAGAGGAGGTAGCTAAAGAGGAGGATAACCAGCACGAGAGTTTGAAAACTGCCGATTTATTGGCCTCTGAGCTTCCCGGGAGCTGGGCAATGAGCACCGCACCTTCTTTTCATGGAGAGAATGAATCGCCAAGGAGTGGCTGTCGAGCCATTGATGCACAAAACGATGGTGAAGAGGATCAGGCTTGGCCCGAGCTCTTGAGCCAAGTGGCAACAAGTGGGTTCAAGGAAAATGAGGCTATGGCTAGCCAGAATATGCCTCTACGAGAAATGGATCTTGGTTTAAGTCAAGAGCATCAGGCTTTGAGTGAGATGATTGATATTGTCGCTCCGGATTTCAGGCAGCAGTTTCAGAAAGAAGTTGAGAGTGAGTCTTCTTCTGGGGAGGAAACACAGGCTTACAGTAGCGAGGATGACAGCAAGTGAGCGCAATGTAGTGGGGATGATAGAGAGAGAAGACATGGTAGTGGAAATGAGAGAGAAAGCCAAACTGATCACTTTATGACTTGGAACTTGTTGAGCCAAGATGAGTTATGCCGCAGGCACTGACTTGATAAAAAAAAAGAGTTGTGTGAAGTTGTGGAGTTCATGTCAAGGCCAACAAGTTATGCCAGGCTCTTGGGTACCTCACATTGTATAGCCAACTGAGTAATGTGAGGCTCAAAGGCCAAAAAAACCTGTACGCCTTCTAGGGGAAGAAAGGACTGGGCTGGGCTGACGTCCTCTCTCTTTCTCCCCCAATTTCTCTCCCCCTAAGCCGCTTTTTTTTGTCTCCTAGCGAAAGAAAGGACTGGGCAGGGCTGCTCAAAAATTTTTCTGGCCAGGCCTAAGTCAGGCTCGAAAAATAAAATTTCAAGTGGGCTGGGTTGGGCCAGTCTAGAGTTTATTTGGGCATCTCACTGGCCATCCCAAGCCTGGCACGGTGGCGACCATACCTATCTTCAAGGATCTCATACTTCTTTTTAGCCACCTATGTAACTTCATGCAGTAATCGCGACTGCTCGGTCCACTTTTCTATCTCTTTTTGGGTGGGCAACGTCACTCCACATTTCTGCCTTCTCCAATCTCTTTGCAAATCTCTTTATCAACCTCACCCTAATCCTAATAGGAACCCCTTGTATGTTCCTATGAGAGACCTACGACCATATAAAAATCCACGGAGTCAAACAGACGCCCAATTATATAGCCAGCATTTGTCTAGATATAACCTACAGTTCAAGGGTTGGTGACCTACATACAATTCAAGGGTTGGTGAGTTGTAGCTTCTCTAAGTATCAGGGTAGCCTTAAATATGACTACTTATGTGACCCCTGTATCATTTGCGATGCCACTTCTTTTCTGTGCCACGATTGTATATATGACAATGCCATACCATGTTCGCGCCGAGCATCATTCGCAATATCTTTGGGATTGAGATTCATCAAGCCGGTCAAACGGGCTCTAGCTTTGCTGGTAACCCATTGGCTTTGTGCTAATGGCTGATCGACCCTTCCTATTGTTCTTATACATGTATGGCCATTTACCAACTCTTTCCCCTTGAAGTACTTTTTGGGGGCAACTCCAGAGCGATGTGCTTGCCAGGTGCACCCCTCTCAACATAGAATGTAACTACACGCTCTTGATAAATTTTCATGATACGTGGAATAATCTACTAAGGAATCATAGAGTAGCATGATATTCTCGAAAATAGTATTCGATATATAAATGAACTTGCAAGTGGATTGAACTCATGGACTTCCCAAAAAATTCAGGTCATTGAGATTATGTCAAATATTTATCTCACTCTTGGCGCCTAGCTGACATGTATGTACTTCATTTAAGACAATGGGGATGTGCACTGATTCAATGGACCAAATGATCAACCTATGCAAGATACAGTCGGTTGATGTTCCTTGTGCGTTGGCTTAGATGGTTGGTTTTCTACACACATGATCATTGAAAGCTACCAATAGCATATATGTTACATCACCGTCATCATTTAGTTATATTTCATCTTTTTTTTCGCACATAATAATGGCTCAAAATAAGAGAGAAAAACCAGTACTGTAAGATAAAAATATGCCTATAGAATTAGGCGAGCCATGGATAATTATTAAAAAATTGCAATAAAACACACAAAGCAGCCAATTCCATGAAGTGAAATTAGTCCCTTCAGTGTTTGTAGCATAAATAAGAACGAAACCCATGCGAAACCACAACCGCGGAACCTTGTAGCTTAGACAAATTACAACCTAAAATGAAGTACATTTTCATTTGGATAACTATTCTACAAATGCAAATAAAAAATAAATAATGAGTCACGCAAAAGAAATAGTACTACATTCCACTTAAGAATCCCATGGGGTAGGTTTCTATGAAATAGTGAACAGAACGGATGGAAACCAATAAAACTAATTTTTTTAAGGGTGATGTAAGATCGAAGGTGATGCTGATGGCTTAGCGAAACAATGAGTTGCACGAGATACCTTGCTGAATGAATTAGGGCATACTTATGAGTATGTTTTATTTATAAAATAGAGATAATTTCATTAAAAAAAGCAAGGTTCATTTGTTTGTTTTAGGCATCCGTTGTTGACATGCAAGTAACGGTTCTTTTAATGGAGATTTTATACTATAACACTATTATTCTTATTTTTGGTGGAAGAAGTACACAATGATCCTAGCCTTCATGTGGAATCATGTGGCTTAGGTTGTTTTAACAAAAAAAAAAAAAAAAAAAATTAACATCTGAATGCTAAGAACGCATCCGAGGGCTAAGAAAAATGGTGACCATTATCTGTGAAAAGGAAGCGCTTTCTCCTTAGAGCACCATATTATGCTTTAATGGGGAGTATATTGGGAAAGGGGCTGGGGTTATGTGGTTTTTATTCTCATTTAAATCACGCGGTAATGTTTTCGAAAAACTAACTCGTAAACTATTTGAAAACCACTTACATCTTCAAAAAAACTAACTTTTAAACTATTTGAAAAAGGTGTTGCCTATAAAGAAACTGTTTACTTTTTGTACAAAAAGGTCACAACTATTCCTACTCATTAGATGTCAAATTAGATGGCTTGAAGTATGTCACGAAGTTCAAAAATTTATTTTTAAAACTTTGTATCTAATCAATAACAATCTTACAACCACTCATTTTGAAATTTAAAAAACAAAAATGATTATGACCTCTTTGTACAAAAAGTAAATGGTTTTTTTGTAGACAATCTCTTTAAAAAAACGGGTAGGGTCAGTCTTCCCCCATTGAATTACCCAAAGAAAAAAACAAAGGGATTGAATTACCCAAAGGAAAAAAAAAAGGGAGTAGATTATATACTTACTCTCTCGAGCAAATATCTGATTAGGAGGATTTTTCCAATCACAAATTTTGGTAACCACCTATTCCAAATTTGGATGATTTTTTTTTGGGGTAAGTCAGTGGGAGGAGAAGGCCTTTTGCCCGTTTTGCACTGATAAGAATAAGACAAAATACGTCCCATAATTTAACAACCGGATTATAAAGAACTTGTGCAACATCAAGAAGTAAAGGGAGATTAAGAAAATCTAGCGGTCTAACGCACCAAACAGTAGCATCAAATAAAATTGTAGTTTTGTTAACAAGCGAGTCAACCACTATATTGGCCTTGTAGTAGATATGAGAGGGATAGGGACAATGAAGGTTGTTGAGCTTATGCCGGCAATTAGTAGCTATGATATGAAGAGACCACAACGCATTGCATTTTTCATGGATAGCATCAACCAGCAGAGATGAGTCGCTCTCAATTTGCTGAGAAAAAGAGCCAAGCTGAATAACAAGGCCCACTCCAGCTTTCAGCGCATGAAACTCCGCATAGTTATTAGATGCTTGTTCTAGAGGATAGGCAAAAACCACAACGAATGATCCATCATTAGCCCTAATAACACCGCCTCCTCCTGCAATACCTGGATTATGAAAAGAAGAACAAATATAGCTTGAAGTGATGAGGGTGAGGGAAAGACCATGAAATAGGGATAAATGCCAGCCCATACAAAGTGAGATTTGGATGGTTCTATTGGATCTTGAGACATTTTTCTGAAGCCCATACAAAGTGAGATTTGGAAATTTTTAGCATTGAGCTTAGTCCATATGCATAATTAGAACTCCTAAATATACTCTTGATTCTTAAATAATAAAAAATATGCTCCCGCAGGGGCATGTGGTATCACAATGATAGCCACCTACCTCATAAAATAATAACAGAGACACTGACCCAACGTACTATAAAACTTTCTTGACGTTTTGACAGGGGAAATGAAGAGACTTGACGCCAATCCTTTGAATGGAAAGGCAGCTGAGATCGAATACCTGTTTAGAATTTTGTAGAATCTTGGACCCAAGACTTCAATAACGCTTACAATATCGTTAAATAACAGCGTTAATCTTGACGTCATTTCGGTGCGAAAAATTATCCAAAGGGATCCCAAAAGCTAAAATGCAACGCAATCCTCACCTTACAAAAAATCCTGTTTTATTTTTTAAAATTTTAAAAAAACATTTCTCAATTTCCCGTTTATGAGAGTACAAGGTGTATTTTAATTTTGAAAAAAATTTATATAGAGCCGAGGCTCTAAACCATCAAATTAGAGCCCACATCAAAAATTTCACTAGAAGAGGTTGTTTTGATACTCAAATATCGTCAAATTGATCATCTCGACATCTAGATGCATGGACATGAGAAAAAATGGATTTTAAGTTTTGAAAATTATGCATTTTGTATTGCCTTTTTGGACCATCAATTTTTAAGATTTTTAAGTATTTATAGATCTACTCGATCTACACTATTTTTGAAACTTAAAATTTTATAATTAGAGATGAAAATATATTCTGATGTTGTCACAAAGATTTCCAGTATCAAAACCACATTTATCGACACTATTTGAGGGTGCGATCTACTTTGATTGTTTAGAGCGTCGGCTCTATACAAACCGCACCTTTTAATTTTTATCTTTTATTTACTTATTGATTAAGTTCAAATTTAGCATGTTCATACATTTTACCATTAAAAACTGTAAAATTTATGTAAAAATAATTAAAATGGCATATAACCAATATACCCCTTATAATATTAGGGCTTATATATTAATTTTATTTATTTTAAATTATATTTTATAGGTATGTAATGGTGAAAACTATCAATGTAGCAAATTTGAGCTCAATATAATGTATATAAAGAAAGATAAAATTAAAAAACTTCCAAAAAGTAAAACTTAAGTATAAAATCTTAAATATGTGAAACTATTTTTAATTTTAAAAATAGAATAGAACCTTTTTGTAATTTTCCTTACAAAATATCAGCTTATATATGTATTTTGTAACGTGGGTTAAGGTGGGATCCTGGCTATACTTTGGCTGAATAGCGCAATCCAACAACGCATCTTGGGTGACTCTATGATCTAGCCACAAAATTAAAACAAACAAAACTTGAAGGAAGAAAACCAATTGCATTGAGCATCTCCCAATGTTATCTTCGTTTCGCTTTGGGCGAAGCAAGCAAAGGTTTGGGTTTTCCGGCCATAGGGAAACGAACCGAATACCAAAACTGATCGTTGTTTTTTGGGTACTTTTGGAAAATTTATATATATATTTATTATAGTTTTCGTTATTATGGCTCTACTGAATAGTTGATGTTATTATTATTGCGTTCATTTTTTCCATGTGAAAACGGATATTTTTTAAAAAAAGCTCTACCTTTTTTCAGTTGTTAAACAACCAAATTCAAACTATTTTCGATTGATCAAAAAAAAAAAAAAGTCAATTTATTCTTTTGAACAACCAAAAATTTTAAAATTTTCTTCAAGAACAGAAATTTGTTTTCTCTCTTGTGGATCTGTGTATCATCTCTCTACCTCTCTTTACATTACAGAGGTAAAAATAGGTTTTTTTTTTTAAACTTTCTTTCTCCCCTTCACCGAACGTTTTTTTTGGGTAGATTCATAATCCCTGAGATTTTTCCTAAATTTAATAGCTCAAACTAGCTGTTCCCCTGATTTTATCGGATAACCATCATTTCAAAGAGGTAGAGAGAATAGGCCACAATATTTCTCTTAATCATCTAATATCATAATCCCTAAGATTTCTCTTAAATTTAGGGGCTCAAGCTAGTTGTTTCTATTTGATTTTTATCGGATAACTATGATTTCAGAGAGGTAGAGAAAATACACTACAAGAGAGAGAAAACATTTTTCGGTCTTTGGTTCTTCATGAACAGAAATTGGTGTATTTTCGGTTGTTGAATAACTGAAGATACTTTAAATTCGATTGTTCAATAATCGAAAAAAAGTAAAGCCGTATTTTAAATTTTTTTTTGTTTTGACATGAAAAAAAGAAAGACGATTATAATAACCGAAACTATTCGATAGAACCCTAATAACATAAACTATAACGGATATATATGTAATTTTTTCATTTTTATAACTTTCCATAAGCAAACAAAAGGACATGTAAGCCATCCCCATCCTAATAGGTTTGTAAAAATTTAAATCATGAAACAGAAAGAAAGTATGTATTTTAAAGAAATTAGAGCCGATTCCCAATTCAATTGGGATGTCAACTTATCAAGAATAATTTTTCAAACTTTATTTCCTAATAATATATAAATCGAAAAAATAATTTGTCTGCCCAAACGTAGAGACGAGTGAAAAAATTCATTGAGCTTTTGCATTAGAGGGGTGCCAATGGAATGTTACATTATCAACATCATCATCATGACAGTTTTTCTTCAACAAACTGGAGTATGCTACGCGAATCGTCATCGGCTATCCGAATGTTATGTACTAAACTACGAACGATTTAACAAACCAGTTTTTCGACCATGTTACGTTGCAAATCCGTTTTATATACTGATTGAAATAACGACAACTCTGTCAAGTGGTGACCGATATTCACAAAATTTCGTCACGAGATATAAATCGGCAGATATTGATCGATGGGTCCCTCGCATTCACTATCCACGCCCCAATTCGCCGCTAAGTTTTTAGCGAGGGAGCTGGCAGCAGCTTCTTTCTTGAAATATTTGGCCGGAAATTTGTTTTTCCGGCGATGTCATCTGCAAATTCCGGCGCTCTCTTGCAGAGTCCGAGTTCATTTCCGGCGCCATTGCCCGTGAGATTCTCGAGATGGAAAGTTTCGTACCCTGTGCTGGTTCGTGGGCAAGGTATGTGTTCATTGTTGCTGCATTTCCTGTAATTTCTGGCGTAAATGATCGGAATTTTTATCCTTCCTCCTCCTCCTCCTTTTCTGACCTTTTTCTTCTTTTTCTTTCTTTTTCATTGCACAGATTCGTGTTCTTCAGGGTTTCTGAAGTCGCCATCTCTGGATCGTTCATGTAAGTCTGGCCTTTCACTTGCTAACTGTTAAATGATTTCGCTTACAGAGCTTGACTGCACTAATGGAGGATGCATGATTTGTATTTCAGTCATTTGTAGACCTCTTTCTCTGCTTTGTCCATTTTAGTTTGTGATTCTCTGTTTAATTTGTTGGGGGTTTTGTTTACAGATCATGGCAGGGTGATGTCAGCTTTCACAGCTGAACTATTTGAGGCGACACTGAGGAGATGTAAACCTCTCTCTCTGGTTTGTTCATGTAAGTTCGATTTTTTCTCTCTCTGAATCTTAATGAGCTTCGTTGTAGTGAACCTCGCGCTTTTGAATGCTCATTCCACTATCCAAATATCAAGGATGTAATGGTGGATTGCTGTCTTTTGCAGTGGAAAATTCTAGACTTTTTGTAGCTCGATGTCAATCAGAGATGACTTTTGAGTCTTCTGAGCTTAATCTTGATCATCAACAAGGAGACACGCTTAAGGTGACTCAGGTGCACTTTTATCCGTTAACCTCGATGTTGTTTGAGATTACTGTGGATTAAGCTGTTCTTGTAGATTTTGGACTGAGTAGCTAGGATTGACCTTCCAATCTCTCCTTGATTCTTATTCCCTTTGAACACAGAAGTAGTCCTTTTCCATAGGAGACAATACTCGCGTGTAAGTTCAAGTAACTTGCTTGTCTATTCTCAATGTCATAACTTGTCTCAGGCCATGGACTCGGCCCTGGCCCGAGTAACTTGGCTGAGTAATATACAAGGCCAAAAATATCCCTAGAAATTTAAAAAAATTGTTAAAAAACAAAATAAAAATTGTAAAGGTGAAACAAAACCAAAAATAACATAAAAGAAAATGAAAAAAAAATAAAAGAGTGGATTTTGAAAAACAAATTGACTTACGGTTGGAGACATTTCAAAAAAATCTGAAAAAGCACATGAAAATGCAAAACAGGGCATTTGATAAGAAAAACTCATAAATCACTATAAAAAAATCCAACAAAGCTATACAACTTTATGTTTTTTTTTTTTACATAGATCCCACAAAGCTATGCAACTTCTTTTTATTTATTTTTTAACATGCCAGAGTTGTACCGCATACTTGGCTCAGCCAGGGGCCGAGTTTGAGTGGACTGGCCCGACTAGTTAAACACTAGTCATAACATAGCAAAAATTATATCTGGAATTAATGGAACTGTTCATATTGTGGATGTCACTGACTGATTAAGGAAATTGACGGTTAGTTGGGACAGACCAAGTAAGTGTATTTTTTATTACTTTAAATCACGAACTAAAGCAAAATAGTTCCTCTTTTTATGATACTAGTGGCATTTTGGGGCATGTTTTGCACATAAAGGGGTTTGGAAAGCAAGCAGACTAAAACATCTTGCCAAAGTGTTCCATGTCTAGTACATTAGTAAATATAGTTTTAGTCATGATTAGTGGTCCTTCCAAACTCACCCATGGTTTCTTAAAGTATTTGTAAGAATGAGATGATTATACTGGTATGGAGAATATTGGTGTGGTCCCCGCACTAGGATATCTAGATGCTAAGGCACTCAAATTTCTAGATGCTTCGCATATGATTTTATCTTCAATTTTTACAGGGCAATTGAATTGGGTCGTATTTAATGCTGAAGGTGCCACTGTTCGCATTACATTTTCTGTTTACAAATTGGAAATTTTCTTGACATGTTTACCTAAATATTGACAAATTAGCAGCCAATACGCCTTTTCTTATCAGCTGACTTTTAGTTTAAAGTGTATGTACTTTTGTCAACTTCAGGCTGAGATCCATTGGTCCGAAGTGTTTTTTTTGTAGTTTGTTTATTTCTTTCCATTTTGTTTGTTTATTTTTCTAAGAGCACTGGTGCATCGGAATGATAGAGAAGCTGTACGTATTTCCTTTGATTTATGTTGTTTTATTGTTCCATTTGTCTTTTCTTCAAAATTATATAGGAGACATACAGATATTTGAAAATTTGCATATCTTTTGGATGTAAACTCTCACACCATTTTCAAAATTTTTATTATTTAATATCATTGATAGATCAATACAGTTTCTGTCATCTTCTTCATTGCAGGACATTGTGCAAAATGAGAATGGCCCTTTGATGATGATGAAGAATGCAAATTCTATCCTTCCTCATGTTGTTATTGCAAGTACAGTGCTGGCTCTTATCTTTCCACCTTCTTTCACATGGTTTACGACCAGGTTATGCAGTTTCCTTAAATGAATGGGATGCCAGATCATGTAATTGTTGTGTACGCTGTTATATTTAGCTTTTTGGTATTTAACATCATCGGATTTCTTCATTTCATTGGTGAATACTGCATATCATTTTGTTTTATTTCTCATTGTGATATTTATACACACTATTCTCAAAGTTGTGATGCATAATGAGCTTCTTCTCTAGATGCTTTTACTTGATTGTTAAGCCCCCAATCTTTTTGGGTCATCCATAATTCGGTGCCCGAATATGTACACATACTAATCGAAAAGGTAGAAGGAAATGCGTAGGATATGGAATGTACAGGAAGACTAAAAGAAGAGGATGACATGTACCTTGATGAATCATTGATGAATTTTGTTCCCTGGAGAACCACCAATACTATTGTTTTTGGCCCATTCATACCACATATTTGTGCAGATGATTGTGCACTACTGCTCTTGTTGTGCTCATAGATTACGTGGATTGGATCAAATTTTGTCAAAAAAAAAAAAACTTTGTTGCGGTCTTCATTATCTTAAGTTGGATTACCATGATGCTAAAAATAATAATCGGCAATGTGGTTCCAAACTTGTATTGAGACTCATATAAGAACACCTTCATTAGCAATAATTGTTTGCCCAAAATGTGTCGGTCAATTTGGTTATGACTCCAAATATGTATAGTAACTAGAGAAACTAACGCACAAACAATTTCACCTAGATTTGTATATATCAATGAGTTCAGGAGGAGTTTCTGAGACTTCCAATCTCTGTTTCATTTCCATCAAATTGATAAACAGATTTGAACACTCTTGATTCGGGCCTTGAAACATATTATAGACCTTAATAGAAAGTAAAATGGAAAATACAGCACCAAAGAGTTGAATTTTAAAATCAAACCACTTCGAGTTGTCATATGCTCACTTTAGATTTGAACTAAAGCCGGCTGGAACAACCATGGTGATAAGCTTATTTCAAATGTGAATTGAAACGAATTACTATCAAGATTTATTTGAGGAAATTTGGATTTGTTGCTTTTCCGTAGCTATCGGTACTTAAACCAGTATGTAAATGAATTGACAATATATGGTACTTGCTTCCAGATGATGCCACTTCCTGACAGTGAATACTTTTTGAGTTGAGATTTTGCATGCTGATAGAGGACATTGAGATCAACGTAATGGTCTAAATTTCACCTCAAATGGATAAGTAACAAGTGACTGAGATATGCCATGTCAAAGTTAACTCATTTCTACTTCTGATTTTGATAGCAAATGAGCTCGTTTTGGGCCCAACCGCTTTTGGCTCAAGGAATTATGGACCTTGAAAGCTTGGTATCCTTGTAGAAGAGTTCTTGAGGAACACCCCGAGAAATTTCATGAGAAACGTCCTTGTATATTGGGAGATATGTCAGACCAGCGGTCAGACTATTGCATGGTTTTGAAGCTCATGTTTTAAATCCAACTGCTTTTCAATGGGAAATCCATGGGGTACTGCCTTCACATCGTTTATAGGGCACTACTTTAGAAATCTACCCTTTCAATTCCTTGAGAAAGCCCCTCATAAATTGAAAGAAATCTCTATTTTAGTGGTCGGGGTCATCCTACCTCTGATGAACATGCATCTGGTTGCCTGTGGATATAAGCCTTGGCTACCTCTACGCATGAATGAGAGGTCAAATCATCTCCAAAGGAGCTGAAACGTTTGAAAGATGCTTATTATGCCTCAACCCTGATTTCCAGGAACTTTCAAGTCAATCCCAAACATCATGAAGGGACTGGCAGTCAGGCCATAATATCCTGGCGACCGGTAAGTTTGGAGATGTATCAAGTGAAGTCCAAATTTTATGGAATTTGGGTGAGAGGCCCTGATGTGAATATCTACAAAGTGCTACCCCATTCTGATATCATTGGATGGGGTTTCACGTAGACCTGCCGCTAGAGCCCCCTCATGGCAAACAATGTTTGTTATGACATACCAAATCTTATCCAAACTTCCCCAAATTTTGTGAGGAGACACATGGCCTTGAGAATATGTGTCCCAATGTTTGGTCTCAACCCGAGACAATTTGACAGTCTTTGATTGACCGGTCATTAAGATATGTATGGTGACCGGCTATTAGGGCTCTCAGGACATATCAGGCCTTGGATGTTTAGTCCTAACTTTATCATCCTTCATTTATGATGCTTGATGTATGACACTTCAGAATATCCTGGAGATTCTAATGTTGATTATATCATATGCATAACGATCAATAACAAAGCTTACATGTCTTGACAGTTGCCCATTTCTGTTTATCTCCTCGTTTGAGACCATTCACCCTGCTTGACCTTGAATCCCTCTAGTGTGTTTAATCCTGAATAAGAGTTCAAAACCACACCAAACAGTATTTATATAGCCTTATTATCAATAAAAGAAAAATCGGCCTTGTTCTTCATCTGCATCTATATCCAGCTTTTCTGCCTCAACCTGGTTTTCGTTTGGTTGCCATAAGTGGGACCTCGAAGAAGCTGGAGGACTTAGGAAGCCGATGTTTGCAATAATCCAGGGATCAGAATCTACACCAGATGTGTAGAACTCAATAACTTCATTCCCTCTCAGGGTTATGCAGTCTCTACTCTTGATTTTGGAATATGGAGTGAAGCATTTAAACCCTTTACCAGAAGTGTCACCTACACAATGTCTACCTAATTGTATGCATGTGACTGTCCTCATGCCTTCTAACATGTAGATCTCAGATTCCATTCATGACATTGTGATTAGTCCATTTCTTGTATTGCTCTAATTATTTGGCTGTGATGATTCATTGTAATTCTAAGTTTTCCTTGACCTTTTCAGGTATTGGGCTCCTGCACTTGGTTTTCTGATGTTCGCTGTTGGAGTAAATTCAACTACTAAAGATTTCTTAGAGGCAGTTAAAAGACCGGGTGTTATTGCTGCTGGCTTCGCTGGTCAATACATCATCAAGCCTCTTCTAGGATATATTTTGGGTACCATTGCAGTATCTCATTTGCGTCTTCCTGATCCTATTGGTGAGACATTCAGTTCTACTTTTGTTTATGTCTTTTGACAATTGGAGAAGAGGTGTACAAGATTGTGAATGAAACTACTCATGCAGGTTCTGGGATAATGTTAGTTTCTTGTGTTAGTGGGGCACAGCTTTCAAATTATGCCACTTTCCTAACAGACCCAGCTATGGCTCCCTTAAGCATAGTTATGACATCATTGTCGACAGCTACAGCTGTTTTTATTACACCCTTCCTATCGCTTCTACTCATTGGAAAGCGCTTGCCTGTTGATGTTCGAGGAATGATGACTAGTATAATGCAGATTGTAATTGCACCAATTGCTGCTGGCCTGCTTTTGAATAGGTGATCATCTTCATGACTCTAATTGCATGCTTGTGTTCTCTATGCCAATTTTTAACTTGGGAATCCATCCTTCATTTAAGTATTTAATTAGGTCTTGTCAAACTAAATTTAGATTGCAATGCTTCTGATATGATCAACATGCTTTGCATGTCAAGTTCAGCGCCTATATGAGTTAACATTTTGTTGCTCTGTACTTGTTTGGACATCATACCTGAAAGGTGTTATCTTCTAATTAATAATTTTAGGACTGCACAGCATTTTCTATTTGGCAATTGGACTATACCACTAGGAATAAACTCTAGGCTAGGTGGTCAGGGTGGCATGGTGCTATAATGTGCCGTCTTGAGTTTGATTGCTACCACACCTCTTCCCCATTAAACTTCCCAAAAGGAATCGGGCCTAGGATCGACTGTTTAGCAGTTGATTTTAGCAATGCTACATCTCAAGTTCGACTTCTACCACTGAACTACCCAAAAAAAAAGAAATCTAGGACTACACAGCACTGTGTAGTTTTGCTTGTTACTAGTCGCATGGATGGTCCTTTGTGCTATCTTTCCAAAGTTGGGAACTTGTTAGGCAATTCATTAGTGTAGATTGCCATGTGTCTTGTAAGATGGCCAAACACGCTATGCCTGCCACTGAATAGCTGGACATAATGATAAAAAGCACTTCACTTCTTTTGATCTCAGTTATTGAATGACAAGCGTTCCGTTTATTTGTTTTGCATGAATACTGACAAGAGGCTGGTTTATATACAAGAGTTCCGTTTTTTTTTTGCATGAATATTGACAAGAGGCTGGTTTATATTAAGGTTGGATTTTGCCATTTAAAACAATGTGTCCAAAGAGATGACTGAGTATTTTATTCATGCAACCTGCTAGATTTAATTTGGATTATACTTGTGGCTCATGGTGCTTTTTTGTTAGGAGTTATTCACTTTCAAGTATTTGTACAAGAGACCATTTACTTTTTGTACAAGAAGGTCACAATTATTATTGTCCTTTAAATTTCAAAATAGGTAGTTGTAAGAGTGTCATTGAATATATATAAAGTTCCAAAAAAAAATTCTCGGACTTCTTGATTCATCTTAAGCCATCCAATTTGACATCTTATGTGTGGGAATAGTTGTAACCTCCTTGTAATAAAGATAAATAGTCTCGTTATAGACAATCCATATCCATATATATATATATGGGCAGTGATTTCATGCAACGGTTGTATCATAGTATAATGCAACAATCTTCCAAAACCATATTAGGGCCATTTGTTTTATCCAAATTTTGAAATATACGCTCTTTTCATTCTAACGAACAATCACAAATAAAAGCAAATTTGAAAATGGAACCTAAAAACAATTTTTTTAGCCCAATTAACATAGGCCGCCCATTTTGATAAGATGCTTAGATCTAGGCCATAAAATGATTTTTTTCTTTTCCAATTTTTTCGATGGTTTTATTATCATTAGATGAACAATGTTAAAAAAGAAAAAATTGATTTTGAGTTTGTGGAGGATAAGATCTTGAAATTCACCAAATGAATGGTTTATATTCGTTGTTGGAGGGGACTAATTTTGACCATATCTAGGGTTCAAATTGAACTTTTTTTTTTATGGGATTGATTATTGAGATGAAGAGAGAGTGTGTACAAACTTTTGGGTCAGACATATACCACAAACATGGTTTTTT